GGTTCAGCGAGGATGAGGTTCCTATCCAATACACTTTTGTTTCTCCAACGGTAGCCAATAACTTCTAACGTACATTGTCTTCCACTGCAGGCACGCTTTTTCTTCCAACAGCTTATATCGGGAGTGAGCTACTGTCATGCTATGGTATTTTTACAGCCTTCAATTGGTTTTATTTTATTTTTAACTTTTTTAGTTATGTTTCTTATGTTTGATACAACCAGAAGATTAACCTTTCGTTTGCTACACTTTTTAATGAAGCAAGTATGCCATCGTGATCTAAAATTGGAGAACACATTGCTGGACGGAAGCCCAGCTCCGCGTTTGAAGATTTGTGACTTTGGATACTCAAAGGTATTATTTAGCTACTTATTTTTCCTTTCATTAGAGGTATTAGGTGCTGACATTCAATTCTCTGTGCTTTTGAAAGTGAACATTTTAAAATAATTAAGAATCATTGGTAAGCTGGTTATTTGATTAAGCAGATGCATGTGTAATTAGGATTTTTTTTTATTTATTTTTTTATTTTAAGGTTATTCCCTTCTGTAAGTAGTAAGTTATTGGAATTTATCTACCTCTTTATATGTTTGCTCTTCTTCTGCCATCTTGGGTCCTCTGTTTGTGTTTTTTTTTAGATTGATAACAAACGTAATCACGCTCTATATTCGCTTCTCAGTCCTCAGTGTTGCACTCACAACCAAAATCAACAGTTGGCACCCCTGCATATATTGCTCCTGAAGTGCTGCTTAAGAAAGAATACGATGGCAAGGTACATTTTGATTATTAGAAGCAATCTGGTTTGTAATTTCCCAACTAATATGTTATACCATGGTAATCCATTATAGTTTTATTTTCATCTTTTTAATGGCCCGCTTTAGTTTTGCATGATTTTCTCATTTTTATGATCACTCATCGTGACCAAGTCCCATTCATGTTTTAAAACCAGGCTATTAGGTACATATCTCATGCTGGTACTTTCATAAATAAGCGACAAAATGTTGTTCTGGCTGTACAATTAATTAAATCTGGTTTGGTTCTTTTATAAGCTACCATATTCACCTTCTTTACTCTTTTTGGTAATCTAGAAATGGACATTTGATTAGAATTTCCATGTGCATGTTCCAGCTTTAGGGACAGATTTCCTTATTAATAGGATGCATATGCACAATTTTAGGAAGGATCAAGGATGCCCTTTTTACCCCGGAGCATTGAACAATTCAACAATCGTTGACATAATCTGATAGTTTGACACTTTTTGTCTGCCGACCAGATTGCTGATGTTTGGTCATGTGGGGTGACCTTATATGTCATGTTGGTGGGTGCATACCCTTTTGAGGACCCAGAGGAGCCTAAAAATTTCCGCAAGACAATACATGTAAGTTTTAACACCTCATTCCTTTCACATGTGTTGCTTTACTGCATTACTTGAGTTAATCGATTTCTGTATCATGCAGAGAATATTAAAAGTCCAGTATTCAGTTCCCGACTACGTTCATATATCTCCGGAGTGCCGCCATTTGATCTCCAGGATTTTCGTAGCGGACCCTGCACAGGTCAGTGAAATCCTTATGCTACACTTGGATTGCCATTCTACTTATTGAATACTGAATAATACAAGTTTATCTCTCATCCAAATTTCTTTCCCGTGATTCCCCGCTTGCATTTCGAAATGAGCTTCGAAATGCCAACACTCGTTATGCAGAGTAGGATTCCTATTAAAGTTTGAAACAGAAGGATTAACCTCCTAATATGGGTTTTCATTGCATATTACTTTGCAACAGAGGATAACCATTCCTGAGATTAGGAACCACGAGTGGTTTCTGAAGAATCTTCCAGCAGATCTCATGGATGAAAAGACAATGAACAACCAGTTTGAGGAGGCCGATCAACCCATGCAAAGCATTGATGAAATAATGCTGATCATCTCCGAGGCCACCATACCCGCAGCTGGAGCCAACAGTCCCAACCAGTATCTTAACCTGGACATCGATGACGACATGGAGGAAGATCTTGAGACGGATCCTGACTTGGACATTGACAGCAGTGGAGAAATAGTTTATGCAATGTGATTGCAAGGAAGGCAAGAGCAAGAGTCTTGGACCAAAAATGTCAACTGCATCTTCTGTATCAAAGTCTGCATCTTCTGTATCAAAGTCTTTGGATAAGTGAAAACAAGTACGGGGCTCTGTTTCATTGTACTTAAGGATTCTTTGGTTCGTTGTTGCAAAATAAGTTGCTGAGAATCCAACTTTCAGATTGTCGTTTCTCCTATTAGTTGACATGCTTCTTCTATTAAGTGGAGTTATGTATTGTTCTTTTTTTTCCCCCCAACTTCTACTTGTAACAACAGTAACCTAACATGGCGATGTGTTAAACCGTAACTAAAAATTGTACCATAAGCTGAAGCCATTTGTGTCTCCCAACTTTTTAGACGGACTCGGGACTTAAAAATAAGCTCGATTCTGATCCTCCAGCACTTTGCTTTGTCTAATCTCTTGGTAAATTAGGGTGATGTGGTATAGACGTTTCATTTATGCAATACACATGCACATATCTATTAGCTTTTTTGGGCTTATCTTTTTATGCAAAATGGGATTGAATCCACACCTTTCCATATCCAAATTCACCCTTCTCTACCTCATTGTTTGACCTAGTGGTCATTGACTATTAACTTGTTTGTATGATCGTATTCATAAAACAATCACATTGGAACACACAGGTAGCTGGTTAACCATGTAGCACTCGAAATTAATTCAGGCCATCACAGCAAATGCAAAAAAGAGGTCAGATTGCAGCATTTTGCCTATGGATATCCACTCCAATGTATTATATAACCACAAAATTAAGGGTAAAGAAAAAAAAAGACGAGTATAAATGAGGTTGCTCCTTTTTTAATTTCTGTTACTTCTAGTCGAAGCGCCTTTAATACAATTCAGCTTTTGATTCTTCATAAGCAAGTCTCAGCAATCAGAACACAATCAGGTACTGGCTTTTGTAATGTGAGATAAAAAGTCCAAGGCTTATGTAACAGTTTCGGACAAAAAAAAGGTCTATGAGAATGACGAAAAAAATTTCAATCACAGAATGAAATGGTACGAGGAGAACACCAAGCTCGCTCCAACTTTAGCTTTGAGCATTGACGTTTTCCGGCACGGCAGTCGCTAAGCCATCTCATCTGAATTCCCACCAGCAGCTCTTTGAGCTCCATTGACCGATGAGTGTGCAATTCCATTTGTTGCTAGCTGTTCTTGAGGCTGTTGCTCCAGCTGTTGCCCACCTTGAGCAGGATTGGTTGCTTGATCATAATCGGTTGGTGCAGAGGCTGACTGAGAAGGATACCCATCTTCTCCATATCCGGAGTGCGGCACTGCAGAAGGGACCTGTGCCTGCTGACTTCCATACATTGTCTGGTAATAACCTGTTTGATCATAAAATGGCTGAGCTGGTGGTTGGCTTGTGCTGCTCGAGTAAGCCCAGTAGCCAGCATGAGAATTATCAATTGTCTGGCTGTGAGCATATGGGTAAGCAGATGCCGGCTGCATAGCTTGAGACGAAGATGTTCCATCCAGGTTTGATGACGGTGGAGGTGCCCCATATTCTGAGCTAACATATGGGTTCGGCTGATTGGGAACTGGAACCTGACTTGAGATGGGTTGTCCATAATTTGATGGTTGCTGAGAGTAGCTCTGGCCATAACTGTGGCTGGCGGGAAGTGTCTGATTGTAGCTGTAGCTAGGATTTGACGGAGCTAAACCAACCTGAGTTTGTTGTCCGTAATAATCATATCCAGTGCTTTGCTGAGGTTGTTGAGAGTGGGTTGCTTGGTGAGACGGATCCCAAGCTGCTACCGAGGTGGGATGGTTACTATAGTAAGAGGCAGGTGGGGGAGGTTGACCATAGCTTCCAGGTTGTGTGTACCCGTACTGAGGCTGTTGTTGCATTGGAGGTTGTCCTGGCGCACCCCAATTTGCAGCTCCTGCATAAGCCGGCTGCATGTAGCTATTTGCACCAGATGGATTTACCAAGCGTTTCTGCAGGGATCAGTACCAATTAGGTAAAATAAATAACTAGATGCTTCTAAACAAAATCAACAATAAAACAAGTTTGTGGACATGTGTCCAGTTAAGGTATCTAAAATAGTCTCAAATCAGAATGAGTTAGGTTAAAAGAGAAGAAAACATTAACCTACGACATCAGAAAACAGTTAATCTCAAGCAAAGAGCAGAAATGTTGTCAGTCTATCCATAAATGCAAGAGAAAATGTGGTTTGCAGATGCATTGAAGAAGTCCAAAGTTGAGAGTCAAGACGAGAAAAGTTAGATCAAGAGTGATACAATTGTTGAATACAAGAAACTGAAGGATAAACTGAAAAACTAACAGAAAAAATAAAATCCAATAGAACATGGATGACTCACCCCACTGAGTACTTCATTGATCAATTCCTTAGCTGACTCAATTTGCTCTTTCAAGCCATCAATGTATACAGTTCTCTCTGTTGATGTATCACCAGGAGGAAGGTGCAGTGGTACAATCTGAAGGGAAGAATACACGTGAAAAAATACATAAACGAGAGGAGCCAAATAATACATGAAATGGGATGATTGGCTTCCAAAATTTGCTCCACTTAATAACTCATATTTCATATATGATATAACTAAAATCCCAGTGTCAAAAAATCAGAATTCGTTTAACTATAAACCCAGAGAAAACCAAGTATATTCAAACTTAGGCAATTAGAGTCCAGAGGTACACTTTCGGTATTTAGGTATCTAATTAAGCAGTAGATCCTGCTATATCAAATCATTCCAAGCACTTGAGTAAGTTGGTATTAAAAGAAAATGAGGAATAGACAATTATAATCAGAATATCAGATAACAAACAAAAGGGGTATAATTAGACTTCCAACCTGCATACGAGCGCCTGACCTGCTCTGCATATTCCTTATGGTCTCACCCCCCTTTCCAATAAGCAGAGCAACCTACAATCATCATCAAAGTGAATTTAGTTCACTAGTCTTACCGTCAACAAACATGAAGAAAATGCGAAAGATTTACTTTATTGTTTGGAACTTTCATGACAAACTGTTCTGCACCAGGTTGAACTGGGTTTGCATCCTGTTTTGCAGATGGAGCATCCTGTTTTGCAGATGGAGCAGAGCCCCCTGCTTCTGTCTGTTCCAACAACGTCGGGACCAAATTGTAGCTAGCAAACCTTTTGGATCATCAAACAATAACATCAACGCACAAAGTTGTACTGTACCTGTGCTATTACATCATTTATAAGTTGTTCTGCCCTACTAATCTGTTCTGATGTCCCCGTCAATTCGACCTCTCTTGTCAGCGAATAGGGATCAGCTTCTAAGTCCTTAGTTATCTGAATCTTCGCTCCTGACTGATTTTGTAAGTATTTAATTGTTTCCCCTCCTTTCCCAATAATCAGCCCAACCTGTAAAGTAGAATTTCGAGGAGATAAATTCTATCAATTGCCAGTGTCATGCCAATAATGAAAAATCGAAGCAAAAATAACGATCAAGTACCTTTCCATTTGGAATACTTATTCTCTTGCTTGTTTGTCCTGTTTGAGCGACAAAAGAAACTGAACCAAGTTGCAAGTCAGAAAACAGCAGTCAGCTAGTAAGGAACTTACGTAATCATAGAACATGTTTGTATATGAATAAATGTTTGAGGATTTACTGGTTTTATTCAAAGTACTGACAAAAGATGATTTGCCACATATGTGATACTTATTTTTTTCTTTTCTTTCCTTTTATTTTTAATGAGATTCTTCAGGTATTTGGATAAACCTTCATAATTTGGTGATAAAACCCAGAAATCTGAAGCGGCCAAACGACCAAGAAGAGAACTATAAAACTAAGCAGTGATCAACAAGCAAATTTCTTCACCATAATGAGGTGATTTTTCTTTTTTCAAGAAAATACATATAGCAGAAACTCTCAGAATCTGCTTAGCAGTTAGCAGAGATGAGAATCTTAGAGCATGTTTACTTCACATGAATGGGAAAGGTAAAAGGATGACTGTTTTTATCTAGTCATGTGTTTACTTACAAAATAAGAAATGATAGTTTGGTAGTATCAATACATATAGAAAACGAAAAAAAAAAGTCACGTCTTGGACCCCAAATGAACACCAAATTTACTTACGTAACCTTCTCAAGTTCTGTAAATAATACCGAACCCTCCTAGAGTTGTCAAATGGGCCGGGCCGTCCATGGAAGCCCGCCCAGCCCGTAACAGTGCCGGATTCGGCACGGCCCGGTACGGTACTGTTACAGGCCGTGCCGGCCCGGCATATTCGATGGGCTAGGGCTGGGCCTCGGCTTCTCAGCCCGCGGCCCAAGCCCATGAAGGCCCTTGGCCCGGCCCAAGTCCGGATTCGGCCCTTGTTCGGCCCGGCCCAGGCCCGCGAAACATCCTAAAGCCCGTTCGGATTGTGACCGTTGGGCCCGCGAAGAGCCCAACGGTCACAATCCGAAAAAACCCTCAAAAATCCTCTATAAATACCCATTAATTCCACCATAAATCCCACACAATAATTCACTCTCAACTTTTCATCTCACTCTCATTCTAGCTCTCATCTTGTCTCTTTCATTTTAATTCTAAGCTTCTTTTTTCACGATCACTCATTTTCTTGCTCTTTCATTTACAAAGTTTAAGTTTAATAATCAATTTTCAGAAAATGGCCGCATCAAACTTCCCTGATTTCACTGCTCTTCCTGAAGTCGGTGATGAGTCATTTTTCGAGGATGAAATGATGCCTCCCAACCCCACCCCCACTGAACTAGAAAATACCCCGGTTGATAATGCTTCAATGCACAATGAGAAAGTTGGAGAACGCACCAGAGGAAAAAGACCGCGAACTTCTCCTGCATGGCAGCATTTCACAAAGGAGCCCCGACCAAATCCAAAAACAGGTGAAATGAAAATTCGTGCAGTATGTAAATATTATAAAAAATACTTTTTTAATAAAAAGGGTGGCAGTACTGGTCATCTGAATAGACATTGGAAAGTATGTCTACCATTACACCAAGGTGGGAGTGTGGACTCCCGCCAACAAACACTATCATTCACATCACAATGGTTGAAAAATTTTACATATGATGCACAACGTGCTCGTGAGGCACTAGCTAAATTTCTAGCTAGTGCCGAATTACCTCTTTCTTTTGCAGATGATGCGTTGTTCGAAGAATTCATACAGACGGTCTTCTGCTCACAATTTAAACGGATAAGTAGAAACACAACTCATTTTGATTGCATGAAAGTGTTTTATGCAATGAGACAATCTCTTGTTGATAATTTTATGACTTTTAATTCTACTGTATCTTGTACTCCTAATCTATGGGAGAGGTGCAACAAAACTGGATATTTATGCGTCACGGGGCATTATGTTGATGATGAATGAGTTTTACAAAAAAGAATAATAGGTTTTCGTTTATGTCCATATCCTCATAACGCATCAATTATTTTTGGTACATTAATGGAAATTATTGAGTTTTATGAGATAGAAGATAAAGTTTTAACTATTACTTTTGATAATGCATCAGCTAACACAGCTGCAATTAACATGTTTAAACGTAGTTTGAAACCAGCGTTTAAGGGGGAAATTTTTCATCAACGGTGTGCGTGTCACATATTCAATTTAGTAGTTCAGGCAGGAATTGAACATTTTTGAGCTAATCTAACAAATATTAGAGAATCTTTATCATTCATATCTAGTTCTGAAACTCGACTCTAAGAATTCAAATAATATTTCAGGAACAGTTAGATGCGCCTAAGAAAGTTCCCAACTGACGTGAGACATAGGTAGAATTTCACCTATTTAATGTTGAAAGTTGTACTCCCATATTCACAGCTCATCACAACGTATGTAAACTGTAAGAACGATCAAATTTTAATTTTCGATACAGATTGGCAGATTGGTGAGTATTTTCAAATTTCTAAAAGTTGTTTACAATGCTACTGACTTACTTTCCGGAGTTTATTATCCTACTGCACATTTAGCTTTACATCAACTATTTAATATTTCAAAAACATTTTCTTATAATGGGAACAGTACTTTTTGGAGATATAGTTAAGCTAATGGAAACTAAATTTAAAAGTTATTAGTCAGGTTGTCCTATGTTATATGTATTAGCAACCATTTTAGATCTTAAGTGCGAAGTATATATGACTAAATCTTTGATGACTGCTACAGTAGAAAATTTAGGTATTGATATGCAACTAGCTATTACTGACGCTAAGAAAATATTAAAAAATGTATTTATTTTGTATGAAGCAAAATACAGCACAGGTTAAAAAAAACAGGAAACTTCGACGTCAACTAGCAGTTCGGGGTCTAAAGGATCGTCGTGGAGTTTCTTGAAGAAGAAAAAAAAAACGGCAGGATCGTCATCAACACAAGCATCTACCAAACCGATAAAATATTTTAAAACAAATTTTGTAATCGATGACGACAAACTAGACATGTTACAGTGGTGGAAGAGCAAGACCGATCGTTCTCCAACATTGTCCGTAATTGCTCGTGACATTCTGACAACTCTAGTGTCAACGGTAGCATCGGAGCAAGCATTTAGTGCAAGCAACCGAATTCTTAACGAGACGAGAAGCAGAATACATCCAGATATCTTGGAGGGGCTAATGTGCGTTCAAGATTGGGAAGATGCCAGAAGACGAAAACAACAATAGACGGATAATTCAATACAAGATTATTTTTTTAACTTAAAAATAACAGAATCTTCTGGAAACACTTAGGTTTGTAATTTACTATTCCTACTGTACTCTTTTTTCATTCGTTAAAGTTTTGTCCTGATCTCCCCACGGATTTTACTTAGCAAGGTTTTTAACGAGTCAGTCATTTATGTGTACTTATTTGTATTATCTCAATTCAATAAAATCACATCTTTTAGGGGCATATGATATATTTTCTTTTTTTTAATTAAATTTAAAAAAAAAAATTAGAAGGGTCAGAGCCGGCCCGTGAAGGGCCTGGCCCAGGCCCGACCTTGACCCTTATGGACTAGGGCCGCGGGCTTGAGATTTTTTTCTTAGGCCCGGCCCTGCACTGTGCAGGACCGTGCCAGGCACAGCCCAAGCCCACCACAGGCCTGGGGTCGGACGTGTCGTGCCGGCCCGGCACGGCATGTTTGACATCTCTAAACCCTCCCTTATGTAGCGTCTATTTTCAGTTATGGGAAACGACATTTTTAGTAATTACATTGACAAGATTACTAGAAAGAGGAATTGGATCATTTCTTATTCCACTCCGTAGATAAGTAGACATTAAAAAGTGAATTAATGATTCCATTTGCATTCCTTTAAGTCGCTCCAAGGAATTGATATACAAGCAAATCTCAGCGTTGACATTTAGAAAACAAGCCAAACTAAAAAAAGAAATCAACTAAAATCTTTTCTAATCATTTGCAAACCATAAATTATGAAACTCTTCCGACCATACCCAATGAGAACACAAAAACAAAGTTAAATGAAATAAAACAAAACAAAATTACAAATTCAACTAAAATCTTTTTTAATCATTTGCAACTTTATACTCGCTTTACCCCCATAAATAATAATAAAATGGCTAACTTATTACTTTTCAGAAAGTAGAAAGCAACGAAAGATAATGTTAAAAACGCAAAACCAAATCTGAAAAGAGTAAAAGACCTAAGGCCAAGTATTTTCCCTGTGAAAGAGTACTCCAAAAACCCACGACTCAGCTCCATTAAAGCTAGGGCTAACCTCTCTTAGTCCGTTTTTCTACAAACACCATAAATTCGTTGGTGCAAATGACCAGAAACTAGAATTTCCAGAAGGCCAAATCCCTAGAAAAATCTCAAGTATTTTTTTTTTAGCGGGAAATGGAGAAATTTACCGGTAAGGGGATTGGAGGCGGAGTTGGAGTGAAAAGCGGGTTCAGGCGAGTCGTCGTCGGCGAGTCGAGGGCGCTTTGACTCGGCATTGCTGACGAGTCGAGCGGCGATTTCTTGAGCTTTCTGCTTGGCGAAAAGGATGTTGTCCTCGAGCTTCCGCTTCGTGGTAGTGTCCGTGGTGGTTTCGGAGCGAGCTTGTTCTTCTTCTTCTTGGTGGTGGTGTTCCTCTTGGTCCTCTTTCATGGCGGTCGAATCGGTCAACTCAGCGAGTCGTCACCGACGAGAAGACAGGGAGAGGGGGAGGGACTCGCAGAGGAAGCGAGAGGAGGGAAACGGATTTCATGAAAGGATTACATAGGGCTTGAATAGTCTTTCTTACGACGTCGTTTCTCGAGTTTTAATTTTGACTTTTTGGCATTGTTAGTTAGGCCATGAAAGTTAATTCATTTCACCGATTTGAATTTTATTACAGTAAAAAATTCTTAAAAACAGTCACATTTAATTTTTTATTATAGTAAAAAACTCTCACATAAAGTTACATCTCAACTCAAATTAAAAACTCGAATTAGCAAACTAAACGGGTTCTAATATTGTGACAATTTGTCTCTAAATTTCATTTTTGGCCAATTAATTCCTGATTTTTTTTCTTTTTTTTACAGTTTTGGTCCTTAATCATACAATTAGGGGTGTTCGTCGGTTCGGTTTTGTCAGTTTTGCTCGGTTCAGTGGCCGAACCGACCATGTCAGTTTTCTAAAAGTTAGAACCGAAATCGAACCGCACCTAACAGTTTCGGTTCGGTTAACCGAATTTCGGTTTCAGTTCGGTTTCGGTCGGTTTTTGGTTTTGGTAATCAGGAAGATGACCTCAGTTAACCATCAGGTTACCAGCATCTTTAATTGCATTTTTGACCTGCAAGTACGAAAAAATGTAAAATTTTCCTTCAATGTAAAGTTGTAAACATGTAATCACAATAAATGAATTCAAGCACAACATCAAAATTGATAATTGCACAAACACAAGTTTAAAAAACATTTAAATTGTCATAAGTAAAACAAAACGAAAACATAAAAAAAAAAAAAATTCCATCTCAGTCGGTTCGATTTTAACCGACTCTCTACACGTAAAATCGAAACCGAACCGACTTTTGAGGAAGTCGGTCGGTTAACTGAACCGACTGTGTTCAGTTCCACGTGGCACCGTCGTTTTTAATTTTTCGGTCGATTTCGGTTTTACGGTTTTTTTGTACACTCCTACATACAATTGACAATAGATATTTAAATTCTAATTAAAAAATATATGCTAACGCTTGAAAACATGAAATTTTATATAATTAATCACAATAAAATGCAAAATATTGTTTTTTTCCCTTTGAAAACTCTTGAAAATTTGAGCATTTTCTATTACAAATGATTTATTTATTTTTATGTAATTTTAAGTTATTACGCGATTGATATATATTGTTGCCTAACTTGTTCACCATTGTCGTGAATTTTAGCATGAGGAATAAAATTTATCGAATTCAAAATATTAAGTATAAATACAGTCGGCTAAAACAAAGTTTAAAAATCAAATTATTACTTTTTAAAAATATAGGGACTGATAGACTCAAAAATCCTATTGCAGAGTATCCTAAATAAATGATCCCTATCAAAACTTTAATAGAAACAGTTATGTAGCCGTGTTGCTCATTCGTAAGGTAGAGATAGAGGTGTAAGTTTGGGTTGTTCAACCTGATCCGGCCAAGACCCGACAGCTCAAAAAGAAATTTCAAACCGGGTTGAGCTGACTTTAAAAAAAAGTGAGGGTCAGTCTAACCCAGTCCTAAAATTACAGCTCTAGGTGAAGAGTAGAGACTAATAGCTTGTTCTTTTGAGTGAAAAACTCAAAAAAATGCAACTCGAGTTACAACTTTATTCGAGTTCATGTTCTTTTAAGTATAACTCGAGTTTAGGACTAAAACTCAAGTTCAAGTTTTCCCTTCAACTCGAGTTCAGAAACTCGAACTCAAATTAATGGACATTATTTTTTCTATTCTTAAAAATGCTATAACTTTTTCATTTTAACTCTGATTGAGATGATTTTTTTTCTATACGTTGACAACGAATAGACAAAAAAAACCCAACCCATATACCCTATTAAAATTTTTCATCAGCATTGAGTTTTTATTAAAATACTATCTAAATACAAATTCAAGTTTTGACTCACTCAAACACAAACTCAAAAAGATTCTTATCTCAAACCATAACTCAAATGTACACAACCAAACACAAACTCAACTTACAATTTCAACTCAAGTAATGACTCAAATTCAACTAAAAAATTATACTCAAGTTAAACTCTAAAAGAACAAGCCATAAAATTTGAGACAACATACATGCTCAAAGATCTTCTATCCAAAATCTAACCATAGGCATTACAATGCAATGAACATGTAATTACCTTTGGTAAATTTCAAAAATTTCACGAATTTTAAGGCCAGGGACCAAAGCTGTAAAACAATAAAATTGCAGGCACTAATCGACCATAAAAATGTTAAGGACCAAACTGCCATTATGATGAAAGTTCAAGGACTAATAGTTCTACCGGTGGCTTCGTTATACTTTTATTTATTTATTTATTTATTTTTGGAACGCGGGAGCGCAGTTTTATACCATAGACTAATGGGATGATTAAGTCCTTATGGATTCACTTATCTCAGAGACAACTGGTATATTATAGTAGGCAAGTGACAAGCAATACGCAAATGATCGTCACAGAAAATGAACTGAATTCTACTCAAAACTGTATTATATTTGATGATATGCAAGAAATTTTATAAGCCAAAGTATTCATTCTAGTTTTTCTAAAGCACCACAATGGTATGACTACAATTCTGTACCCAAACAAAAATATGCAAACGCCTGTTTGTGCCCCAACCTTTTAACACTGCATTGGAGCAATGAAATGATTAGATTGTTAGTCAGCAATTTCAAAACCAGCAAACACGTCACAAGCACAACTCTTCAAGTGTTCTACTCAGAGCTACTCCCAAGCTTGTAGATGCATGACTTTGATTGTTCAATCACTTGAATCTTCTTTTGAGTCAATTACCCGGAATGGAGATGCATTACTGTGAAGCAAAGCAAAAATAATGATGCATACAAATATCATTTCTAACTACAAATCTACGATCTTAATAACTGATGGAGTCCACAAATTGATCTGACAGTGATAAGATCAGCTACTCTATCAGCAGGTACAAAGTACGCTCGGTAGTGGCATTAAAAAATGGAGCTCCTGATAGAGGTGACGATACCTGTTCATATTTTGTCTGAAAGAATTAAGACTTTTCTTCTGAATCATGTGACAATGTTGTTCTTGATGCCTTTTGGGGTCTTCTGTACCACAGTAAAGCAAACCACAGAGTCCTAAACAAGCCCCCGTTGGCAAAATGCGGGATGAATATGCGCCCCCAGTAAGGGTAGTATGGACCTGGTAATTTGAGCAATGTGAAGAAAATGGCCATGCAAATCAGATGCCAAGGAACTTCTGCATCCTGCAATCAAGCCAAAAGTTATTCGAGTTCATGTTTTTTCGGTCTTTCAATAATGCTGACAAGAGGAACTAAAAAAGTGTAGGCAGCTCTAAGGAGCATAATTCTAAGAAATGAGTCCGACTCCTCTGTTATTGCTAATAATATTCCAGCAATTATTAGATCTACAGGGCAAGCTATTAAAATCGGTCATTTAAAAAGATAAATGATATCATCTAGGAAAAAATGCAGTAGCAAGTAAAAATTTCAGAGATCTTCAAAGTGCAAATGTAAAATCTATCAACTAGAGCAAAACCAGAAGCTTCTCAAAGCACCACCATTAATATCCAAAATTTAGGGGAAAAGCAACATTCAAAATCTTTCTGCCATATGTGTGGACTTAGTTGGGACCAATGAAGCACCAAATCATGCCGAAAACTAATTTCGCAAAATATTGCCGAAAACTAATTTCTGTGCAATGTGCATGCAAACTACAAGTTCTGGATAAAGTAAACTGAATAGCTATTTGATTCTTACTAAACATCATACCTTGAGAAGTGGAGAAATATCCAAGGCTGTTTGCCTCAAGACTCCGGCAACAGCGATCCCGAGGAATATTGGAAAAGGGACAAGTTTCAGCTTCCTTTCATGTGCACAGTAGGACATCTCACTAAGGGAGGTCACTACAAGTAAAGGAACAGATAGGTATTTGACAACTGCCAAGATAAGGTCAAGGGTAAGTTGAATGAAGTTGTCTAGTGTTCTGTTCCAAGGAAAACTCTTCACTGGCTGAGGAGAACTCTCCCACAATTTCCTTGCCTTGTCCATCAGGTGATCCAAGTTAGTCTTCTCGGGGTCGTTCGACCGCCCAGCAGCCATATTTATTGCGCAAAAGATATTGGGTACAGGATTCTGAACTAACCCATATGATTTAAAACCAAAACTGCAGCCGGATTCTTTAATACGTTGCGACAATCCTTCCTAAAATCGAAATTGAAAATTCATTTAGCAATGTGACGAAAAAAATTGACAAGAAATGCCTTCATATTGCCGACTAAGTCAAACCTCTAGCATCAAATCGCCTAAACAGATTAAACTAACATAGAGAACTTTCAAGACACCTAAAAACCAATAAACAAGCAATAATGCAATATAAATCAGAATTCTTATTCACATCAGCGAGCGATTTAACAGCAAATCTATACCACATTCCTTGCTAAGTAGAGACGATTCCCTTTCGCATCTTTAAGCCAAAAAAAAAATTTCAACTAGCGATGTGACGAAATAAGAATGACAAGAAATGCCACCATGATGCCTACTAAAACAAACTTCTAGCATCAGATTTGCCTAAACAAGATAGTGAAAAATTAAAAAAAAAATTAAAAAAAATGAAGTCTCAAGACAGCTCAAGAACTACTATATAGGCAATATAAATCAGAATCTCCTTCATATGCAATGCCACATTGCACATTCTGTAGTAAGTTGAATATCAACAGTTTCTTTCTTTTTTTTTCTCTTCCTATCTTTTTTTTTTAAACTCTCAGCTATACAAGCACTGCTTTCCCCACACGCTTGGAAAAAGGTTTGATGATGCATGAAATTTTTGGTTCCACGAATTGATTAAGGTTTAGTTTTTCTCGGTAACCAAACACATTTTACGGAGAAAAGATTTCCGAACAAGAAGAAAATTGAAAACAAACAACAAGATTAAAATCCGGTGAACAAACTTGAAGAATTTCATACATAGAAACAATAATTACATAATAAATTAAGATGAAATTTTGGATAAAGATTCAATTACAAGGCTTACCTTAAAGCCCTGGAAAAGAGGGGGACGGGTGTTGAGCGCCATCTTCATGGAGGGAGAGGATGCAGATAGCAAGTGAGAGGAATAAAGCGTCGCCATTGGAGAGAATGATTTGAGCGATTTTCAGAAGAAATAGAAAGAAAAATGTAGAAGATAGCTTTGATAAAGAACCGCCATGGAAGATAAGATACTGATACACCGATTTCTTTCCACGAGTTCAAAGGGGCGAACCGCCATGGAAGATAAGATACTGATACACCGATTTCTTTCTACGAGTTCAAAGGGGGCGAATCGAGGGTTTAGGGGGTTGAACCACGATTTGCTGCTGTTTTCCTCACGGTAAGCTTCCATGTGTCGCCCCATGTTGTGAATATGTAAAAGTAATTCCGACAAAAAGGAAAAAAAAAAAAGGATATAAAAGGATTTATTGCCCTATCATTTTTTACTCAAATTTGATTTTTTTTAAAAAAAATTAGATATTTTGTTTTAATTTTTACTGAAAATTAAGACATTTCATTTACAATAATAATTTGTGATTTTATACACTCCATATATTATATGTTATCCATAAGTATAATGGACTTCATTTTATTTATTTTATTTTTAGAAAAAAGTTGAAACATAATAATATAAACTATACAATTTTCTTTTCTAAGCATGCAATAAGTGGACTTTCTTTTTAAATTTGAAGGTGGGGGAAATTCAAGTATTCAATCTCAAATAAGTCGAGAATTATTGTTCAGACAACTCAACAACCACAATATAATTAACTTAAATTTAATATTTTTAAGAGTTTTTTTATGGTAGGAACGGTGCAGAAAACGCAAGACATCTTGAATATAATGTTAAATTGTTATGTCAATATCAAAATTTGGTATTTGAACGATAAAAATCACTCTTTAATATAATGTTATTCTTTGTTAAATTTAACATATGCTTGGTGGTATTTTTGACACCAATTTAACAAATACAAAATTTAACATTTGATTACAATTGGTTAACATATTAACTTTTTTATTTAAATTATTTAATCATTACAATATATGAGCTTTTTAAATTATTTTAATAATAAAAGGGGTACTTTTACAAGTTTTAAAACTTCATAATTAAAACAAAAAGTAATATGGCATTTTACATAGCATTATGTATCAGTGTAAAAACTTCATAATTAAAACAAAAGGTAATATGGCATTTTACATAGCATTATGTATCAGGACACAAAATAATAGCACAACTTTCACACTTAGATATACTATTAGCATTGACACTTGCACCAGAGATGGTCTGAGATCTAGTTAAAATCTCATTAAATAGAATGCCACATTAAATATATTATTTTTCACATCTTTTTAAAAGAAAATATAACATTAGCATTGACATTTTCATTAGAGATGGTCTAAAATCTAGTTAAAATCTCGTAGACAATATCTAATTAAAATCTCATCAACATAAAAGGGTAATTGAGAAAGCTTAATACAAATGCCACGGTTCAAATGAACCCTACTGGTAAGCTATATGTTCTACCCTACCATAGTCCATAGAATTCTCAAATAATTTTATTTACTTTCCAGGTATTATGTAATGTCTGAGTACGTGGTTGCACAAAGCAAAATAAGGTATATAATTTGAACTTTCGGTAACATGAATGCTTCTTATCTATCAAACATAGTAAGCTGAGCTACTGAAGAGCAAGTTACTAGAAATTAGAAACCATGAGCTTGATGAATGCAAATTTATCAAGCGCCCCATCAAGCATATCAGCAGTTAAGAAGGATTAAACGCTCTGTCAATAATAGTAAGCTTTTTATGTCAATTAGCATAATAGTCAAACCAAAACAAGGAAATCCAACGATGTCACTGACTGAAAAAGTTCGATCATAATTCAAGATTAATTGACATCAAATTTAACTGTCTAATGTTTATAATTATAAGCTTACAAAATTTCCAAAAATGATAACTGGTAAAAACGATATAGTTTGGTTTTTTTCCCCTCCTAAAATACCAGCTGTCTAGCTGAGAAATAAAGAGACTGAAATTTTTGCACAGTTTCTACGCATTATTACCTGCAAAAACCAGTGAAGAATCAGCTAAAACACATTAATAGAGAATATTGTTTAATATACATCACATCATGTAGAAAAGTTAGAAATACTGAGGTGTACATCCTATATTTACGGTTAGTTAGGATATTATGTAATCTAGAGCTATAGTTAGCTTATTTCTTGATTTTCTGGTTAGTTAGACTTTGTTCCTAAGTGGTAAGTCAGGGGCTATAAATGTATTGTAAACCTTGTACACTTTACGCGGATGTTTTATGAGAAAGGATTAATTCAGCCCAGCAGTGTTAGTGTGTTTCTCCTCTCTTATTTACTTTTATGGTATCAGAGAACAAAAAGGGAATATTGAGTAGAGAGAAATAATGTCGGATGGAAGCAGGATTGATGGCTCTGAGGTAACCCCGGCTACCAATCAACCAACTCTTAAAATTGCTCCCACTGCGGTTTCTGAAAGTACCTCTTTACATATTACCACGCATAAACTAAATGGAAAAAATTTCCTTCAATGGTCTCGATCCATTCAAATGGTTATTAGAGGCAAAGGGAAAATAGGGTATTTGGATGGCACCATTGCCATGCCTAGTACTGATGACCCAACATTTTTCCAACTTGGGATATACAGAATTCCATGGTAATGGCATGGTTAATTCATTCCATGGAAGAAAAAATAGGGAAAACTTACCTATTTTTTCCCACGACAAAGAAGATTTGGGATGCTGTAGCCCTCTCCTATTCAGATCTTGAAAACTCCTCTCAGATGTTTGAATTGAGAAACAGGCACGGAGTCTAAGGCAGGGGGAGAATGATGTGGCCCAATATTTTAACAACCTCACAAAGCTGTGGCAGGAACTGGACTTATTCAAAAGCTGCAACTGGAGAGATCCAGAAGATGCGGTACTTCATCAGCAAATGATCAACAAAGACAGGGTCTACGACTTCTTAGCTGGACTTAATAAGGAGTTAGACAAAGTCCGAGGACGTCTGCTGGGAATGAGACCACTTCCAGCAATTGAGGAAATTTTCGCTAAAGTCTGTAGAGAAGAATGGCGAAAGAAGGTGATGCTGAACGAGACCACAAGTTTAGAGACTGAAAACTCAGCCATGGCTGCCAAAGGATCTCAAGGACGAGGAAACAAGAAACCTCAGTTGTGGTGTGACCACTATCAACGCCCACATCACACCAAGGAGACCTGCTGGAAGCTGCATGGAAAGCCAGAAGATTGAGTACCAAATAGACAAAAAGGCCGAGAGGCTAAAGGGCTCCAAACAGTTCAAGGTTCTGAAGCAGAAAAAAGGACTGATAGCAATTCAGCCATGATATTTACATAGGAGCAGATGGATCAGCTACGCAAACTTTTAGCTACCCCTCAAACCGCAAATCCTCAATCTACGGGTACCTCTTTTTTGGTACAAAAAGGTATGAACTTGTTAGATTCTAGGATTTCTGTCACCGATAAAGAAGAAGAGAAACAGAATTGAATCAAGAATAAGATATTCTTATTAAACTGCAGGACCATTTATGTACAATTCAGCAGTTCTTCGAGGGACTGCAATCCTCCCCTAGCTGGCAAATTGGCCTAGCTAATCCTTTACTCACTAATTCCGTAATCCCCAATATTCCCTTCTTGCCCTATTTATTTCCCTCCACTTCCCACTGATTCCATTGTAACTAACCCCCCCCCCCCCCCCCCCACCCCCCCCTACCCCCTCCCCCCCCCCCCCCCCCCCCGTATCTAACTGCCTAATTGGTTACATTCTATTAACCTTCTTACACTTACAGCTGTTTCCCTCTCCTAACGACACCTGTCTTACCCAGGGCTTACAGCCGTTTCCCTCTCCTAACAAACACCTGTCTTACCAAGGGCCTGGTCCTATCAACTACTCCGCCCCCCAAAAGAGTCACCTTGTCCTCAAGGTGAAAGTCTGGAAACTGTTGCTGGATGACATCAAACAACTCCCATGAAGCCTCAAAATTGGGAAGACCCTTCCACTTGATCAACACCTCTAGCTGACCGGTGGGTGAAGAAAAGCGAGTATCCACGAGGTGCGCTGGCTCGACCCGTAACTCGAAATCCTCAAACAAAAGATACGGAAGCTCTTGGGAAGTAGCAGACACGCCAATCGCTTGCTTCAGCTGCGACACATGAAAAACCGGATGGACCCTGGCAGAATCCGGCAGCTATAAGCGGTAGGCCACCGGCCCTACCCAAGCCAAAATCTTATACGGCCCGTAAAACCTAGGAGATAATTTCTCGTTGGTAACCCTGGCCAGCGAGCGGTGTCGGTAAGGCTGCAATTTCAAAAGACCAAATCTCCCACCTGAAAGTTAACGTCCCTCCGTTTGAGGTCGGCTCTCACCTTCATCCGCTGTTGAGCCTGTAATAGATGCGTCTTTAGCTCATCCAAAAGAGCGTCCCAAAACTGAAGTTGCTGCTCTAACAGGGAATTGGCTGCGGAACCACTTTCAAACTGCAACAACTTAGGAGGGTCACGTCCATAAAGGGCTCGGAAGGGTGTCATACCTGCCGAAACATGGTAGCTAGTATTGTACCAGTATTCTGCCCAAGGAAGATGGGAAAACCAATGAGTAGGTTGAGTCGACACGAAACAACGAAGGTACGCCTCGAGACATCGGTTTACCACCTCGGACTGGCCATCCGTCTGAGGGTGGTAGGCGGTACTTCGATGTAACGAGGTGCCCTGCAACTTGAAGAGCTCAGTCCAAAAATGGCTAAGGAAGATTTTGTCCCTATCCGACACAATGGTGCGAGGAAAATCATGGAGGCGGACAACCTCCTTCACGAATAAGGCAGCAACAGATTTGGCGGTAAAAGGGTGGCGCAAACCGAGAAAGTGAGCGTACTTACTCAAACGATCCACCACCACCAGTATAGTGTCACGTCCTCCTGATTTGGGCAAGCCCTCCACGAAGTCCATCGTTATGTCATCCCAAACCTGGGCCGGAAGAGGAAGTGGTTGGAGCAACCCGGCCGGCGAGAGAGTGGAAGACTTATGCTGCTGACAAATAAGGCAGGCAGCGACGAACGAGATTACATCCTGCCTCATCCCCATACAAAAAAATTCTGAGGCCAGCCGTTTGTAAGTCTTTAAAACCCCAGAGTGGCCCCCCACCTTGCTGCTGTGGAACTCCTTCAGTAACACCGGAATGATGGAAGATTCTGGAGGAACCACCACCCGATTCTTATAGAGCAACAGCTCATTCACCAATGTATATCCCTTCACAGCCTGAGGATCCTTCTCCAGCTGAGCCCTGATTTCTGTAAGCTTCAGGTCCAGGAGCACCTGTTGGCGGATTGTGTCCCAATCAAAAACTGATGTGGAACTCAGGCGCATGAGTACTAAATCCGCAGGCCTCCGAGATAGGGCATCAGCCACTCGGTTCTCTATCCCGGGTTTATATTGTATTTCGAAATCATACCCCAATAGCTTGCACAACCAATGTTGGTGCTCCTCACTTACCAATCGCTAGTCCAGTAAAAACTTTAGACTTTTTTTGTCAGTCCGCACAATAAAGTGTCTACCGAGCAAGTAGTGACACCATTTTTGAATTGCGAGAACTACTGCCATCAACTCCCGCTCATACACGGACTTTGCTTGAGCCCGAGCCGACAAAACCTGGCTGAAGTAGGCAATCGGCCGCTGTTGCTGCATCAAGACCGCCCCAATCCCAAAACCAGAGGCATCGGATTCCAATACAAATGGTAGAGAAAAATTAGGCAAGGCGAGAACCGGCACCGTTGTCATGGCCGTTTTCAAACTTTTGAAAGCTTCCTCTGCCAACGGATTCCATTTGAAACTGTCCTTCAATTGTTGGGTTAACGGCCAGGCCATGTGTCCATAACCAGCCACAAATCTCCTATAATATCCTGTGAGCCCCAAGAATCCACGCAACTCCTTGACAGAACGAGGAGTTGGCCAATCCACCATTGCCGAGATCTTGGTAGGGTCTGCCGACACCCCCTCTCTTGAAATATAATGACCGAGATATTCCACCTGGATTTGAGCAAACGTACACTTCTTCTGGTTGACATATAGCTGCTGCTCCACTAAAGTAGCCAATACCACATTCAAGTGTCTCAAATGCTCCTCGAAAGAGGCGCTGTAAATCAGAATATCGTCGAAAAAGACCAATACAAATTTCCTCAAAAATGGTTTCAATACCTCGTTCATTAAGGATTGAAACGTGGCAGGAGCATTGGTAAGGCCAAATGGCATTATTAAAAATTCATAGTGGCCCTCATGGGTACGAAATGCCGTTTTTGGAACATCCCCTTCACCCATCCTTATTTGGTGATACCCGGCCTTTAAATCCAACTTAGAAAAAATTGTTGCCCCACCCAATTCGTCCAAAAGCTCCTCAATTACCGGTATGGGAAATTTGTCCGGCATTGTAGCTTTGTTGAGCGCTCGATAATCAATACAAAAACGCCAACTCCCATCTTTCTTTTTGACTAGGAGCACGGGACTAGAGAAAGGGCTTGTACTTGGTTGGACTCTTCCGGCTGCGAGCATCTCTTTAACCAATCTTTCCATCTCGTTCTTTTGGAAATGGGGGTACTTGTATGGTCGAACGCTAATCGGTCCTGCCCCTTCCTGAAGAATGATACGGTGATCGTGCGAACGGCAGGGAGGTAATCCCTCCGGCATACGTAGGACCTTAGAGTGTCGGTGCAACAAGTGTTGCACCGATTCTGGAAGAGGATTTTCAATGTCGGAGTCAACCCGTAAGGTGCTCAACTCCACGTAAACCCCCTGACCCTCGTGCCTCAAAGTGCGGAACATTGCCTTAAGAGAGACCATAGCTCTGGAAAGGCTCATATCCCCTTTTAAGGTCACACCCTCTCCCCCTATCTTAAATTTCATAACCTAGGACTTCCAATTAACATGCATTCCACCCAATGTTTCCAGCCACTGCATGCCTAAGATCACATCTACTCCCCCTAATTCCAGCGGCAAAAAATTTTCAACAATGGTCAAACTCGGTA